CTTGAATCCTTACATCTTGATATGTTATGCTTTTTAAAAAATACAGCTTTAAGCTGGATGTGGTGGCAGATGCTGGTAATCTCAGCACTCGGGAGGCTGAGTCAAGATCAGAGTTCAAGGCTCCAGTGGGATGTGTATATCACTATTTCTTCAAGTACTAAAAAAGGATCTTTTTCCTTCCTCAACAAACTCAGGTAGCTAATTACAAAACCCAGATTCTCATTTAGCAAAAAACCTAGGTGTTACTCAAGAAGGTGAAGAGTAAAGTCTGAAGAGAATGGGATATGGAGCAGGTACACTTTAATATACAGCCAGGCTAGACTACACATTGTGACCCTGGCTCAAAAAAACAAACCAAGGGCTGGAGATTTAGCTCAGAGGCACTGTGCCTGCCTGGCAAGCGCAAGGTTCTGAGCTCAAACCCTGGTACAAAAAAAAAAAAAAAAGCACATAAAACCAAACCAAACCAAACCAAAAACAAAACAAACCAACAACAACAAAAACGACAACAAAACGCAGCTTTTGGGACCTGCTCAAGACAAAATCAGTCTCTAGGATGGAGTCAAAGAACCTCAATTTTTTTGCCATACTCAAGTGAAATAAATCGGACAAACATGTGTAAATACCAAATTGTTTCTGGTGTGAGAAACTGAAAGTGTAAATGAGGACCAAAATGTGTAACAGATATTGTGAAATAGGAAGAAAATGTTCAAAGGGGAAGGCAGGGGCAGCGGGTGAAAGGAAAGAAAAAAAAAAAGGAAAAAACAGAAACAAAACTTTTATAAATAGGGAGAGAAGGAGTGGTTGAAGGGAGGGAAGAGGAATGGGAAATAAATAAGAACAAAGATACATCATGTACAGGTACAAATTCCCAATGATGAATGTGATCATAATGTATTCCTAAATTGTTATCAATAAACTTAATGAATAATAATTTAAAAAGAATCTTAATTTTAAAATTTCTTCTCCAAGCAATTCTCATGCACATTTTAAAGTTTAAAAGAAAGATGGATAATCTGACTACATAAAAACACTAAAACTTGTATAGTGAAAGTTATCAACCTCTCCCACAAACTGGTAAAGAATATTTTAAACATTTTTAAACGGCTAACTCAGGAAGTGTTAGATGACATGATTATTAATAAGGGAAAAATGTCTTCATGGAAGATACTTTTAACCTAGATTAGGCTTGCGTTTCAGTATATTTATTTGAAGGACAAGTACAGGGAAAACAAGTTCAAGACAAAAATTCTTATTTAATCCAACATCTATTCAAAATTCTCATATGTATTAGATTACGTTGGTAATTTTAATAGCATTCTCCTAGGAAAAAACTATATTCAGAAAACAGAACTTAGGAAAATTAATTGGGCATTAATTTTATGTCCAGCTTCTGGTATTTTGGTTTCCTTCTACCAAAGACTTGCCGGCCCAAGTCCTTCAGAGTGTGCACTGCAGACAACATTGTGAAAGGAACATTTCTGAAAGCTCCAGATTAGCATGACAGGCATATGCTGCAAATAAAACTGCTCAATGAAAAGAAATTTTATGATATAAACATCTTCACTATATCTACTTAGGTAGATGATTTTACACATCATAAATAAAATCAAGAAATAATCTAATTTAACAGTCTATCTTCTGATCAGTAGGGTCCTCATATTCTACTGTAACCATGCCACTGTGTTTTAGCCAGAATCAAAGGAGCTACTTTTCACATCACCATGTTTTAGACTTTATCAGTGAATCCCCAAGACTGGCACTAATCTTTATTCAAGAGAAATTTTAAGATTAAATACCAATTAATTTGTCTTTTTGGTTATTAAAAGCACTAACTTTTTTTTTTTTTAGCTGCAATCTATCAAGACAGTAATCTACAAGGGGCTGGGAATTCAGCTCAGTGGCACTGTGCCTGCCTCGCAAGCACAAGGTCCAAAAAAAAAAAAGTAATCTACAATGTTTTCCACAACTCACAAATATTGCTCGTTTTTTGCTGGGTGTGGTGGTGCATACCTGTAATCCCAGCACTTGGGAGGATGACGCAGGAGGATCACCATAAATTCAAGGCCAGTCTGGGCCACATAGCAAGCTCAAAGTCAGGCTGAATAAGACCTTGTCTCAAAAAACTAGAGAAAAAGAAGTGTTCATTTTTACCAGGATCTAATTTTTATCAAGATGATACTGGGCATTCAGAACTGAAGCATGCTGTTTTACATTAAAAGGGAAGTAAATAAGATCCTAAAGATATTTCTGCTTATTTCAAGGCTGTAGCCAGAACCCAGAAACCCATTTTCAATATTAAATTTACATATCTATCCTACACAAGCCTAAAAAATTTTCCCAGTGGGTACTTTGTACTCACTAGAATAAAGATATACCAGCACACAAAATTCACAAAATTTCCCCACACCTAGAATATCATCCATAGTTCCTTAGTTATGGAATAAAATTTATCAGATGAAGGAGTCTAATTTTAGTATATGCGCTGCCGAAGCGAGCACCAGGTGAAGGAGTCTAAAACTGTTTACCTTCTCCAGAAAAGCATTAACCAGTTTTAATTACATAAATATCCTTAGAAATGCCAGGCTGGTCTTAGGCAAATTTTAAAAAATTACTGCGTATACTGCTGTTGCACAAATGAACTGCAGAAGCATTTTCTCTGCTCACATAAGAGGAATCAAAATCACAATTAGCTTCAAAAGCTGGTTTGCTAATTTAGGTTAGTGTGATGAATAGTCTTCTTAGAAGACATGCCTTGTTGTTTCATGCCAAAAATTCTCCCTAGATAGAAATTAACCTCAGAAGCCAGACACACTGTATCATTCATGTGCTTACTCTGGTAGTCATTTGTCCACTGGCACTAGGATGGATTTTATTTTTGCCACTATCTCAAAATAGGGCCTTTACTAAGGGCACATTGGTCTTGTTTTCAGCTGACACCTTGTTTTTATGCAATCTAAATTAGAATAGGAACTTAATTTGAGGGGGAAAACTACCAACTTATAATGTAAATTTTTATATAGTATTGCAAATAGAATCCAAAAATCATGCTATTAAAAAGTTCATCAAAGGAATTTAAAAGTAAGATGAATTTATTTTCTGCTTATTTTTCATATATACCTGTCATTCTTGATATTTAAGGATGGATATTAAGACCAAATTATGAGTGAAATTACTTCACAAAACTGGGATTTGCTACACAAATCCCAGTACTTCTGTTTTTTTTAATCTTAATACTGTACAATCAACCCGGGAGATTGGTAAATATTCCTGTCTCATGATAAGAAATTAGAAGTACGCCAGGGATTTAGCTCAGTGGTTCTGCAGACTGCCTTGAAAGCACAAGGTCCAGAGTTCAATCCCTGGTACCAAAAAAAAAAAAAAAAAAATTACAAGTACAGAGAGACTGGCAGCTAGCAGGTTGTGGAGCAGGATTTGCATTCAGATAGTCTGAACCTACATGTGTTACAAAAAGCAACTTGGAACTGAGGTTAGGAAACTTTTTCTTTTACAGAAAAGTAAATAAAGGAATACTGTGTCACACTTCCCCATTCCTACAGCAACTCCATCAAACTGGGTAGAGGACAAAGATAAATAATGAGCGATATTCTTTGCTAAGTACAAATATTTTTTTAAAACCCAGCTACAACATAAGATATAAGCTCTTATAGGTACTGTGTATTACATATACCTTAGAAATTGGTAGTCCAATTTATTTAGGAGTTGAAAAGTAAACTGTTGAAAAACACAGCAAGCTTCCTTGAGTGACTGTTAACACTCATGTATGACTATTTCAAAATAGTTGTGGAAAATTCTGTAAGAATGTACCTTTAAAATATTAGAAAGTCAGAGGGAAAAACTCGTTCAACTACCACTTTGTCTGTAACTTCAAATTTGTATTTTAACACTCCTGCAGAGTTTAACTGACTTGGCTAAGTTTCAAAACTAGACCATCTAACTTGAGAAAGTCATTTAAAGGGTAAAGCTCATGAAATTATGGATTATCACACAAGAAAAATGAAAGTCGGCTGAAGCTCTAAGTAAACAGTTTGTCTAAATACCAATGCCTCCACAGTTCTATTTACAGAAATAAATCCTCCTGTGTTAAAGTAATTACTTAATGTATAAAGGCCCTGTTCAATATTGTTCGTTAAAAACGCAACACCAATCGCCTAACTCTAACATTGCCCTCTTAAATAAGGCTTAACAAAATCATTTCCTCTCCACTGCATTTCTGGGGCATCCTGACTTTCAAACATTATGATTACGAAAATTTTATATTTTATGACTTGAAACAATTGACTTTTCTTCTTCGTGGGCGCTAAATGAGACTTTTTAACATAAAAATCTAGTCCATATAAAAGATAATGAGGAAAACTGTAGACATTTTGATGGAGACAGTAACAATTCCACTGATTAAGAAAAAAATGGAAACAATTTAAAAAGCTAAGGTCACACGACCCAAAACGATTTATACAATTACTCTCTGGAAAAGAATAAAGTTATCCACACAGTAAAAATGGAAATAACTTCTGAAAAGTGCTCTCCTTCACGAAAACAGTTACCCATTTATCGTTTCAAGCAAGCACTGTTTCCAAACTTGCTGCCTTGTTTCTGAAAATCAACACTACCCCCAAGAGCCACCTAACGCCAAGACCAGTCGCCACCTACGGGAACCAAAGTCAATCTCTATTTTAAAAGTCACTCTGCATTATGTCCACTTCTCCATAAACGCTCGACGCACTTCAACTCTGATTTCGGAAGGGTTCGATTCAGATGACAACAATTCCGTGCCAACAAATTCATTTGTATGAGCGACTTTCAGGTTAATTTTCGGTGCATTTTGAAAACGATCGCTGAGACTAGTTTTCAAACATCCTACAGCAGCGCTATAGCCAAGTCCAGATGCGACCCGCCGGCGTGAACCACACTCACTGCCCAGAAGGGTGGAGGCGACCCCCAAGGCCCGGCGCGCCCGCACTCCGCCTCCGTTCGCTCACCTTCTCGCACAGAGTCCGCACTTGGTTCTCGTTCAGCTGTTTACACTCGTTCAGCTGCTCGACCCACTGGTCCAGCTCCTTGGTGAACGCCTTGGTGTCC